ACTAAACTTGGGTGTTGAATAAAAACTCACAGGTGTCATCAAACAAAAGCACTAAGGAACCTGTGTGGGAGGAGGAGGCAGTCCTGATAAATTGTTATTTTCTGCAGACAATATTCGGGCCAAGAACTTCATGGCTTGTTTATCTTACAGTGAGAAACTCTGCCTTTGTCAAGGACACCTCCAGCCCATTGCCATGGAAATGGACACTGGAAAACTCTTCCAAGGCCTTTTGCCTACAACCCCCTCTGGGTTTTCTGAGGTTATATTTCTTTTCATCTCCCCATGTGAGAAAAAAAAGTTAAGGGTGTTAAATGCCAAACTCCCAGGGGCTGGGGTTTGACTTCTCCTTCAAGACCCTGTGAGGTATTTCTCTCTGTCTCCCATCTATTTTTTTTCCCCACTGTGCTGGAAAGGGCCTTGGAATCTCTAGAATATTTTAATACTTTTTGTAACAGCCATCAGTGATTAAATTGTTTGTCGTTTCTCAGTCAGTAAGTTGTATCCGACTCTTTGTGACCCCGGTGCTGCCCGGCAGCACGCCAGGCTTCCCTGTCCTTCATTATCTCCCAGAGTTTGCTGATTCATGTTCATCCAGTCGGTGATGCTATCTAACCATCTTATTCTCTGTGTCCTCTTTTCCTTTTGCCTTTATCAGTCTTTCCCAGCATCAGGGTCTTTTTCCAGTGGGTCGGCTCTTCCCACCAGGTGGCCAAAGGATTGGAGCTTCAACGTCAGTCCTTCCAATGAATATTCAGGGTTGATTTCCCTTAGGATTGACTGGTTTGATCTCCTTGCTCTCCAAGGGACTGTCAAGAATCTTCTCCAGCACTGCAATTCGAAAGCATCAATTCTTTGGCACTCAGCCTTCTTTATGGTTCAACTCTCACATCTGTACTGACTACTGGAAAAATAATAGCTTTGACTATCTGAAACTTTGTTGGCAAAGTGATGTCTCTGCTTTTGAATACACTGTCTAGGTTTGTTGTAGCTTTTCTTCCAAGGAGCAAGCATCTTTTAATTTCCTGGCTGCAGTCACTGTCCACAGTGATTTTGGAGCCCAGGAAAATAAAATCTGTTACTGCTTCCACTTTTTCCTTTCTGTTTGCCATGAAGTGATGGGACCAGATGCCGTGATCTTAGTTTTTCAATGTTGAATTTGAAGCCAACTTTTTCAAAATTCTCCTCTTTCACCTTCATCAAGAGACTCTTTAGTTCCTCCTCACTTTCTGCCATTAGAGTGTTATCATCTGCGTATCTGAGGTTATTGATATTTCTTCCAGCCTGTGATTCATCCAGCCCAGCATTTCGCTTGATGTACTCCGATAGAAGTTAAATAAGCAGGGTGACAATAAACAGCCTTGTCATACTCCTTTCTTAATTTTGAACCAGTTAGCTGTCCCACATTCAGTTCTAACTGTTGCTTCTTGACACACATGCGGGTTTCTCAGAAGACAGACTGTGAAGAAAGAGAGTTAAAAAGCTGAGTCTAGTATCTGTCATACAGAGTGAAGTCAGAAAGAGAAAAAATACTGTATATTAACTCATATACGTGGAATCTAGAAGAATGGTGCTGACGATTCTCTTTGCAGGGCACGAATAGAGATGCAGATGTAGAGAGTGGATTTGTGGACATGAAGGAGGGGGAGGGTGGGAAGAGTATCACTGACATAGATACACCACCATGTGTAAAATGGCTAGCTAGCAGGAAGCTTCTGTCTAGCACAGGGAGCTCGGCTCGGTGCTCTGTGATGCCCTAGAGGGGTTGAGGCGGGTGATGGGAGGGAGGCTTTAGAGGGAGGGGATGTATGTGTGTATATAGCGGACTCACTTTGTTGTACATCAGAAACCAACACGACCTCATAAAGCAACTATACTCCAATTAAAAAATAATTTAAAAAAACTGCTGGTGAGTGAGAAGGAATTTATTTCACGCTTGATGGGTTTGGCGTTATGAAGTCTTTAGCCACTGGTTAAATATAGGATGAAAAAATGAATCCATTGTGTGTCCCGACTGAGGGCAAAAGTACGAATCACGGTAACATTAGCTAAAGTAAATAATGTCTCCCGACAAAAGTGTACAGTTGTCTCATGCATTAAGTGCACGGCCAGGTGATGGGAAACCGTGATCCATGTGCCAGCTACAGTCCTCGTTCTGCTTTTGATTTTTATGTGTAAATCAAGCTTTTATTCTTGGTGGATTCTTGATCCCAATGCCCTTTCTCACCCTTTAGTTTCCTATTTCTCCTCCTACTTGAAGCTCATGTTAGTTGTTCTTTATTGAAATACTTCAGTAGTCTTTTGTTAGTGTATTTAATGCTAGTTTTTTAAAGTTAGTTTTTATTGGAGTCTAGTTGCTTTACAGTGTTGGGTTACTTTCTGCTCTACAGAAAAGTGAATCAGCTCTAGGTATGTATGTGCTGTGCTTGCTTAGTCACCCAGTCACGTCTGACTCTTTGCAACCCCGTAGACTGTAGCCCGCCAGGCACCTCTGTCTATGGGGATTTTCCAGCAAGAATACTGGAGTGAGTTGCCATACCCTCCTCCAGGGGATCTTCCCAACCCAGGGATGGAACCCAGGTCTCCCCCATTGCAGGCAGATTCTTTACCAGCTGAGCCACCAGGGCAGCCTTGACGTATATATATATATTCCTTCTTTGTTGGATTTCCTTCCCATTTGGGTCACACCCCAGACCATTGAGTAGAGTTCTCTGAGCTCTGAAGTACTAAAGTATTTCGGTAGTCTTTGAAAACATTCAGCAACCTGAGGAATTTTTTAAAATTCTTTTTCAAACATTCTTCCTCCAGTGCAGATTTCCAACTTTCTTTCATCCTCTCACAGCTGTGGTCATAGACAGTGAGGAATAATAATTATTCTAGAACTATGGAATGAGAGCAAATGTAGTAAGTAAAGAATAATTTTTAGTGAATTTTTCCCCCCCAAACATGAGCTTATGTGAGAAGAAAGATTTAGTTTTAGTGAAAGGCAAATGCACCACTACAGATTTTTGAAATTAGTCAGTTCAAGGCATTTCTACACAATCATGCTAATGAAGGGGTTTCTCTTTCTTTTGATTAGGAGTGTCTTTACAATACCAACCAGATGAAGAAGGACCCATCTGCCAATGCAGAAGACACGGGTTCGATCCCTGGGTCAGGAAGATCCCCTGGAGGAGGAAATGGCAACCCTCTCCAGTATTCTTGCCTGGGAAATCCCACAAACAGAGGAGCCTGGCGGGCTACAGCCCAAGGGGTCACAAAGAGTCGGATATGACTGAGCAATTGAGCACGCACGCGGGTGCTCTAAATCCTGTGTAGTGCAAGAACAACCTGTTGTTGGTTCCTACAATTAAGATATTATTCACCGAAGTTATGGTGATATTCACACAGCTTAAACTTCTTTTTCTCAATGACTCAGTATAGGCTCCTGATGGAGAAGCAGGTGCCCTCCTGACCCCCACTCCCTCCATAATTCAAGGCCCTTGCAGGTCAGGGTGGGGGGTGCTCCGAGCAGGAAGTGGGCAGTTCTCTTGATGTCTTGCAACTGAAGGGGGAGGAAAAACAGAGAAAGTGAGAACATTTTTAGAGTTAGCTGGTAAAGGATTTGTTGACAGAGAAATGCATTGTTAACTAAGTTCCTGTGACCTTTTTTCTTCTCCTCGCTTGGCTGGTCTGTGGGAAGGGAATGGAGAGGGTTGATTGTACTGTAAATCTAAATGCACAGACATGACCCAGAGCCTAGAAAACTCTGTTGTAGCTCTTTAGATGTGACTCCACAGTTTCAAACTTATTGTATTTTAACTTGTCAGTTCATAATATACATTCAAACCAAATTACTAGAATATTGTGGTCATAAAGGAAGGAGAAAATTAATATTTACCTCAGTACCAAAAATAATAAGTATCAGCTTCTCCCCCCATGTAAGTAGCATTCCCAAGAATTACATGTTACTTTAAGGACTAGATCATTTTATTGCATAAAATATGTGTCTTTACTACTGGTTGATAAAAAGAATAAATTGAGGAGCTGCATAATTAAACATAAAAGTACATCTGTTTTATTCATTAAGCCTTTTTAATTAAGAAATCTCAAAAGCATGTGATAAAAATGACCAACTTTCAGTTAAAAATGAAAAACATGTTTTATACCTAGTATACTATGTAAGTCTGTTATGTTTCAGAATTAAAGAGTATTACTCTAGAATACAGTATTCCATGACTGTTTTCTGTTGATAAACTAAGAGTTTATTGATTTGATTAGGGTCATTCTCCTAGGATAGAACTACTAATTTGTTGTTTTTTAGTAGCTCAGTTGTGTCCAACTCTTTGTAACCCCATGAGCTGTAGTCTGCCAGGCTCTTCTGTCCATGGGATTTTCCAGGCAAGAATACTGGAGAGGGTTGCCATTTCCTCCTCCCGGAAATCTTCCCAGATCAGAGATTGAACCCACGTCTCCTGTGTTGGCAGCTGGATTCTTTACCACTGAGCCACCAGAGTAGCCCACAGAACTACTAGGGTAGCTCTGTTTTAATGTGGGAAGTCTTTGGAAGACTACCTAGTAAGTTATTATTATTTTTTTATTTATAGATGCATGGTGAGGTGGGTTTTTTTTTTTTTTTTAATGTACTAGGGCTTCCCAGGTGGCACTAGTGGTAAAGAACCCTTTTCCCTTTGGTGACCATAAATTGGCCATCTCCTTCTGTGGCTCAGATGGCAAAGAATCCACCTGCCAAAACGTAGGAGACCCAGGTTTGATCCCTGGGTTAAGAAGATCCCCTGGAGAAGAGAATGGCAACCCACTCCATTTATTCTTGCCTGGAGAATGCTATGGACAGAGGAGGCTAGTAGGGCTCCTACATAGACTGTAGGGCTACAGTCCATGGGGTTACAAAGAGTCTGACATGACTGAGTGACTAATACTTCTGCTTCACCAGCAGAGTGAGATGCAGTGATGTGACCTGTGGTTTCAAGTGGCTGAGCTGATCTGGTGACTTTGACTTTCAGGCCTGTTCCCTGCCATCCTCAACCTTGCCAGCAATGCACACATCAGCACCAATGCGACCTGCGGGGAGAAGGGGCCAGAGACGTACTGCAAGCTGGTGGAGCACGTGCCTGGGCGGGCCATGCGCAATGCCCAGTGCCGGGTCTGTGATGGCAGCAGCGCCAACCCCAAAGGCAAGTGGGGCCCCCGTAGGAATGTACCCCTTCCTAAACGATTACTGGAGACTTCTGTTAGGAAGCTATGGGCTTGTGTATTCCTTACTGCTGTTCATTTCCACTATATTACAGTTTAGGAGTTAAAAACCTTAAACCACAATCTGAGAGCATAGTGGGTTTTTGTTTTCCTTCAACAGAACGGCATCCGATATCCAATGCCATCGACGGCACCAATAACTGGTGGCAGAGCCCTAGTATCCAGAACGGGAGAGAGTACCACTGGGTCACGATCACGCTGGACCTGAGGCAGGTGGGTGAGGCTGGAGGCACCGCAGGACACGGTGGGTGGCTGGGTTGTAATCTCATGTTGTTGTTTAGTCGCTAAGTCGTGTCTGACTGTTTGTGACCCCATGGACCACAGCACGCTAGACTTCCCTGACCTTCACCATCTCCTGGATGTCCATTGAGTCAGTGATGCCATCCAACCATCTCATCCTCTGTCGCCTTCTTCTCCTCCTGCCCTCACTCTTTCCCAGCATCAGGGTCTTTTCCAATGAACTGGCACCTTGCATCAGGTGGCCAAAATATTGGAGCTTCAGCTTCAGTATCAGTCCTTCCAATGAATATTCAGGGCTGATTTCCTTTAGGATTGACTGGTTTCATCTCCTTGCTGTCCAAATGACTCTCAAGAGTCTTCTCTAGCACCACTGTTTGAAAGCATCGATTCTTCAGTGCTCAGCCTTCTTTATGGTCCAAGATTCACATCTGTTCATGACTACTGGGAAAATCATAGCTTTGACTATCTGGACCTTTGTCAGCAAAGTGATGTTTCTGCTTTTTAATATGCTGTCTAGGTTTGTTACAGCTTTTCTTCCAAGGAGCAAGCGTCTTTTTAATGCTTTTTTATACACAAGGAAAGTCCATTTGTTTCCTAACATGTTTACATCCTGGTCTCACTGTTTTTCCACTTGGTAGATTTGAGCGAAACACAGAGTTTGTCCTTGGTACTGGTTCTTGTCACATTTATCATGCCCAGGGATCCTTGGGGTGATGAGTGGGATTGTTCTCATGTGGTTTGATTTTCTTAGACACTGTGTCAGGATGCTGATCATCCATCCACCCGTGATGCCCTGACAAGTGGTACCCAGTGTCCACACACGCAGCTGGTGGGCGCACAAAACGTGTGCATTTGCTGCCTTTTAAGCTGATTATCTTGCTGTTTTCACCATGCAGCTCTAGTAAAGGGTTCTTTGTAGAAAATAAGGCTTGGAAACAGAAGGAGATGGCATTAAACGTCTGGACTCTGATGCTGTGTGCAAGAACTGTGAGCACCTGGGGTTGCCCAGCGCTCGGTGAGGAGGCCTTCAGCACCAGCTGGGAAAGGGAGGGTTTAATTGGCTTAGATCACATGTGTACCTCCCTAGCTTTGCTCAAGACCATATAGGAGAATGGAGAGAAATATGATATGAGCCCTCGTTGCCCCAAATATTTCTAGGGAAAGGAAGGAAAAGGAAAGAAATCTTGACTGAAAGGGATGCAAAAGAAAGGTGGCAGCTTTTGTCATATTTCTATTTCAGTTCTCCAGAAAAGCCATAACATAGCCTTCTTACTTACTTCCATTCTGTTCCTCTTGGGTCAGAACTCATCAGTATCATGGGAAATATGCAATGAAAGAGAACTCATTCGAAAGGTGTACAGTATGAGTTTTGGAGATTTCATTGGTACTGGTTCTTGTCACATTTATCATGCCCAGGGATCCTTGGGGTGATGAGTGGGATTGTTCTCATGTGGTTTGATTTTCTTAGACACTGTGTCAGGATGCTGATCATCCATCCACCCGTGATGCCCTGACAAGTGGTACCCAGTGTCCACACACGCAGCTGGTGGGCGCACAAAACGTGTGCATTTGCTGCCTTTTAAGCTGATTATCTTGCTGTTTTCACCATGCAGCTCTAGTAAAGGGTTCTTTGTAGAAAATAAGGCTTGGAAACAGAAGGAGATGGCATTAAACGTCTGGACTCTGATGCTGTGTGCAAGAACTGTGAGCACCTGGGGTTGCCCAGCGCTCGGTGAGGAAGTCTTCAGCACCAGCTGGGAAAGGGAGGGTTTAATTGGCTTAGATCACATGTGTACCTCCCTAGCTTTGCTCAAGACCATATAGGAGAATGGAGAGAAATATGATATGAGCCCTCGTTGCCCCAAATATTTCTAGGGAAAGGAAGGAAAAGGAAAGAAATCTTGACTGAAAGGGATGCAAAAGAAAGGTGGCAGCTTTTGTCATATTTCTATTTCAGTTCTCCAGAAAAGCCATAACATAGCCTTCTTACTTACTTCCATTCTGTTCCTCTTGGGTCAGAACTCATCAGTATCATGGGAAATATGCAATGAAAGAGAACTCATTCGAAAGGTGTACAGTATGAGTTTTGGAGATTTCATAATGAAGAATCATAATTTTTTGAATGAAAGTGAAACGTGAAGGTGTTAGTCACTTTATTGTGTCCAACTCTTTGTAATCTCATGGACTGTAGCCCAAAGACTCCTCTGTCCTTGGAACTCTCCAGGCAAGAATACTGGAGTGGGGAGCTATTCCCTTCTCCAGGGGATATTCCCGACTCAGGCTCGAACCTGCATCTCCTGCATTGCAGGAGATTCTTTACCATCTGAGCCACCAGGGAAATCACAAAATATGCAGAATTTTAAGTAAAAGCGAGACAATACTGTGTATGTTCACGTATAAGGAACTTTTGAGCTCTAATCATAATGGTAAATGAGGTAGTAAGATGTGAAGCTGAGGAGACATTTTCCAAGTTCAGGTTCATAGAATCACGTAACTAAAATAATACATCTGGGCATTTTCAGCTACAAATTCTAAATTAATATGACATGCCTTTGCCTTTTCAAATCCACCTAAAAAAAAGGAGCAAAAATCCCCTTTTTGCCTTGGCTTTTTTTTTTTTTTTTGTCTCTGTTTTAGTGGTAAGGATGCTTCTGCAGGAAATGTTGGTTTTCTCATCATCTTTTCAATGTATTTTCCTTCTTTGAGGGAAAAAAGTACAACATTTTCATTATTAGGAATGTGATACTATGTGAGTTTGGCCAAATTAACAGCTGGACATTTTACAGAGAGACTTCAAATCCCAAGTTCCGCTGGTATTTATCTTGCAATTTGTCGATCTTGGCTTCTTCTAACAAGAGAGCTTCTGCCATAAGTTGGACTGAATCAGCTTGAGGAATTCAGGGGCCTCAGTTTTAAGTCTTCAAGTCTTATTCACACCGAGTCATGGACAGAGTTATATAGGCTTTTAGGGCTTCCCAGGTGGCACTAGTGGTAAGGAACCTGCCTGCCAGTTGATCCCTGAGTCGGGAATATCCCCTGGAGTAGGAAATGGCAACCCATTCCAGTATTCTTGCCTGGAGAATTCCATGGACAGAGGAGCCTGGCGGGCTATGGTCCATGGAGTTGCAAAGAGTCGTACACGACTGAAGCGACTTAGCACAGCACAGCAGGTAAATTCTAGTGTTTTAGATAAGCTTCTAAATTAAGATAATTTTAAGTAACAAAATACTCAGAATTTTCTTCATCTTTTGCAGAATATAAAATTCTACTGTGCTCTAAGTATTTTTTAAAAAGTTCAGATAGTTATATCTGAGCAAACCTTTCTCAGATATATTTATATATTGAGTACTTTTATTGTGAAATATTTTGAATATGTAGCAAATGTATTATTGTGATACACATATAACCATCCCCAAGATTCAGGGATTTTTAAACATTTTGCCACATTGGGAACACTTTCCAAGTGAATTGCAGTCATGGTGACATTGGACCAATGCAAGGTTTTTTGTATCTTAAGAAAATAGGACATTTGTTAGAAATAGGCACTGTGCCATTAGCTAACAAAGCTGACAGCAATGTCCCAGTAACTATTTCTTCACTGAGGTCCAGTTGTCCCAATTTAATCACTGATGTCTTTTATAGGTTTTGTGTTTCAAACCAGGATCAATAAAGAACACACATTGCATTTGATCACTATGCTTCTTAAACCTCTTCTAACCTGAATTGTTCTCCCTTTTGTGGCGGGGGGGGGGGGGGGGGCTTCCCAGGTGTCACTAGTGGTATAGAACCTACCTGTTAATGCAGGAAACACAGGAGATGCACTTTCAGTCCTTGGGTAAGGAAGATCCTCTGAAGGAGGGCATAGCAACCCACTCCAGTATTCTTGCCTAGAGAATCCCATGGATAGAGGAACCTGGCGGGCTACCATCCATGGGGTTGCAGAGAGTCAGACATGACTGAAGCAACTTAGCATGCACACACTGTTTTTAAAAACTGATAGTCAGTTTGTAGAATATCCCACATTCTGGATTTGTCAGGTGGTTTCATTGTGATTTTAACATGCTCCTTTATGTGCTTTATTTCTCATGAACTAAACTCAGCTATAAGACTTGATTACATTCCAGTGAAGTATTTTTGGCCAGAATCCGTGCTTGGCAATCCTGGCTGCTCTGTTGCATCCAAGGCTTGTTTTCTCAAGAGACGCAAGGCTATCTTTGGGTCCCACTGAGGTATTGGCAGCTGGATCACTCCCTTGTCGTACTGTCTCCTTTCTTTCCCATCTCTCATCCTTGTTTCCTGGGTCTCATTAACATGTAACTCTTAGAACGTGAAAGTGGTTACACCTTCTGATGACTTTCCCATTGTCAAAGTCTACATGTTTCTCTGTCAGCCCAGCTATTCACCAGCTGCTAGTTAATTTCTAGATTATACACCCCATTTGGGCAGGGACCACATCTGTCTGCTTCCTCTTTTCTTCCTCCTCTTTCTCTCCCTTCCTTGTTAACGTTTGTAGAGGCTTCTTGCATGCCCAGACATCAGCAGAGTTGGGGCAGTGAGTGTGGAATCACTGTGAACCAGTGCTTTATTTTTGCCTTCCTTTTTTTGGTTCACAACCAGATTAAAAGATAACCAACCATCAGCTATAACCCAAAGACTGCTTTGTTTCCCTTCTGTAAAAATGTAAGCTCTGAAGTACATGTTTTAAAGTAAAATTAGGCAGACCTTAATGTTATCAAGAATCAGAGCAACTTCATGTTGTAAATGTGTTCATGCAACTTAAATATGTCAGCTCCAAGGTTTTATGACCAAATCAGTTAGCTTCATTCTATTTGCAAGTGCCAAAGACATTGATCCTGTTCCTGACTTTCTAGTTGATGACAGCTGTAGAAATTATGGCATTTTTAGCTTCTGTATACAATGTTTGGTTACCTGAAAGATAAACTGAAGAAAAGATAGAAAGTTGTATTATCAGG